TCTGTGAGGCGACACTCTCTGTGAGGCAACACGCTCTGTGAGGCGACACGCTCTGTGAGGCGACACGCTCCGTGAGGCGGCACTCTCTGTGAGGCGACACTCTCTGTGAGGCGACACTCTCTGTGAGGCGACACTCTCTGTGAGGCGACACTCTCTGTGAGGCGACACTCTCTGTGAGGCGACACTCCCTGTGAGGCGACACTCTCTGTGAGGCGACACTCCCTGTGAGGCGACACTCTCTGTGAGGCGACACTCTCTGTGAAGCGACACTCTCTGTGAGGCGACACTCCCTGTGAGGCGACACTCTCTGTGAGGCGACACTCTCTGTGAGGCGACACTCTTTGTGAGGCGACACTCTCTCTGAGGCGACACTCTCTGTGAGGCGACACTCTCTGTGAGGCGACACTCTCTGTTGGGCCTGTCCCTTGTTGTTCTTATGTAAGCAGCTACCGAGAGGGCAGGGAAGACAGAAGAATGACGACCAAGAGCAAGAGTGCCACTTTGGTGGCAGGTACCATTTTGTAAACGGCTTTGAAAATAGGCTACTAGTACTACCTTGTTGTCAAAACTCCCACCAGGCCATGATGCTTGGTCTCGTGAGTATGATAGGAACAACACTGTGGTAAGGTACAAGGTATATTGGAGGGGGAAAGGTGGGAGGTACGGTATGGCATTGGGTAGGGTAAGTTATAGCAATGCTGGATGGGGTGCTGCAGGTGGTCCGCGAGGCACAACAACAGGGAGTGGCTGGGCGGGCAAGTCAGGAACCCACGAACAGCAGGAATGATTGTAGAGACATGCTGACAGCAGGGGATAGCAGGAACACACTAACAGCAGGGAATGATGGCAGGGACACACTGACAGCAGGGAGTGATGGCAGGAACACACTAACAGCAGGGAATGATGGCAGGGACACACTGACAGCAGGGAATGATGGCAGGAACACACTAACAACAGGGAATGATGGCAGGAACACACTAACAGCAGGGAATGATGGCAGGGACACACTGACAACAGGGAATGATGGCAGGAACACACTAACATCAGGGAATGATAGCAGGGAGACACTAACAGCAGGGAATGATGGCAGGAGCACACTCACAGCAGGGAATGATGGCAGGAGCACACTAACAGCAGGGAATAGTGGCAGGAGCACACTAATAGCAGGAACAGCAGGGACATGGTGACAGCAGGGAGGGAATGACAGCAGGAACACACACAGCCAGGAAATGTGGCAGGGAAAAGTGGCAAGGGTGTAGCAGGAAATTATGGCAGGAAGACACTAACAGCAGGGAACAATGCCATGAGTACACTAACCCCGTAGGGTGCATTACTACTAACAACAGGGACTTCTGGCGGAAACCATTCATTGCATTGCATTACGAACAGCAAGCTCTGGCATGCCAAGCTAGTCATTTTGAGCCACACTCATATTCAATCATAGCTCCCAGCAAACCAATTTCAAAGCTTAGTGTCACCATTTCCGCCCTGAAGTCCACCCAGAATCCATATTTACTCTAATAACAAAATGAACTGAAGTTGCCTGTACATCCTCAGTACCACTGAATGAGACAATTCTCCTATCTTGAAAAGAAAGCCAGGGCTTCAAAGGAAAACCCATCCGCGAATTATTCTGCAAGGAATACAGTTCCGTTATTTTTTTTGGGTTGCGTAGCAACCCTTTATATTTGGTTTGACATTTTGGGGATATCATTTGAACAGTGATATTTTACACACTTTTTGGAGCACGCGTTTGAATGTTTGAAATTGGGTTCAAACGGATGCTTCAAATAGTGAATAAAAGCACTCTCAAATGAGATTCCCATATGTGAAACCAAATACCGTACGAATCATGTTGAAACCATGAACTTGCTCGACCGTCCCAGCATCGTCGAGAAATACGGCGGATGGTACGGTCAAACATAATATTCTGGTATCAACATGCACGAATGCAGTTGTACAGATGAACAAGTGGAGTGGTTGCTTCAAAATGAATGTTAAGATGCACCATATAGCAATAGAGGTTGATGGGGTCGTTGAAACAGCGAAAACACGCTGCCCCAAAGACGATTAACAACCTCTAATTACATACATGGCACAAAGTAACACCACACTTTGAAGCACACATCCCACAAACACAAATGCAAACGCTCGTAAAAGGGTGCAACATCGCGTAACGATTGTGAACGAATCGAAGTGGGTGCTCAATATACACCAATGCTGCAACTGAGATTGATGGGGTCGTTGAAACAGCGAAAACACGCTGCCCCAACGACGATGACAACCTCAAATCACAAACACGGTGCATATCAGCACAACAACCCCCCGTGAAACAACCAATTGACATGAACACACCCGCACAAACTGACCCGCACAAACCGACCCGCACAAACACACCCGCACATACATGCATACACAATTAGGATTGAGAGCAGACAAGCATAACGAAGAGTTGCAATCATATTATTATGTATCGATCACTGCTAGCTTGACCCCCCTTCCTCCCTCTTTCCGCCTTCCCTCCTCTCCCTGTACCATCAAAATCTCCTCCCACCCTTTTCCACATTGTCTTCTCTCTTGCGTTCCCCTCCTTGCTCCACACAATGCGTCTTGTACACCTTGCGAAACAAAAATGTTAAGTAAGAATGAATTGTCGTCGGAGAACGCAGTGAAGTATTCAATGACGAGCACATACTAGATTGTGAAACGGAACTTAATAAGCACGTGTGTGTTGAAATCTAATAAGTACAAAATGAAAGTACTGATGAACATGGATACAAAACAGAAATGAAAGGCAAGTCTTGCAACGAAAAAAAACCGGGTTTGACGACTCACAAGCGTGGTTTGAAACATAGATCCCCTGAGGTCACGCACACCACGCTGGTGCACAACGAGGCTCCAGCGAGCAACGAGCTGGGCATCGCCACGCTACAAGGCGGCAGAGAGTTGCAGCAAGGCACCGGCAGGCTGAGAAGAGAAAGCGGGCTGCCGTAGCAAGGCATGAGCACACGGCAGCAGGACGTGAGCTCACTGCAGCAAGGCGTGAGCTAGCTGCAGCAAGGCCTGAGCTCACTGCAGCAACACTTGAGCGTGCACAATAATTTGCCAGCGCGTTGCCGCAACAAGGCAGCAGCGGCGCACAAGCTGCCAGCGGGCTGCAAGGCGCAAGCGCGTTAAGGCGCCAACGATCAAGGCGTCAAGGCGCCTGCGTTTAAGGCGCCAAGGCGCCTGCAGCGCTCATGGCGCAAGGGCGCCAGCGTTTAAGGCGCCAAGGCGCCTGCGTTTGAGGCGCCAAGGCGCCTGCGTTTGAGGCGCCAAGGCGCCTGCGTTTGAGGCGCCAAGGCGCCTGCGTTTGAGGCGCCAAGGCGCCTGCGTTTGAGGCGCCAAGGCGCCTGCGTTTGAGGCGCCAAGGCGCCTGCGTTTGAGGCGCCAAGGCGCCTGCGTTTGAGGCGCCAAGGCGTCAGCGTTTGAGGCGCCAAGGCGCCTGCGTTTGAGGCGCCAAGGCGCCTGCGTTTGAGGCGCCAAGGCGCCTGCGTTTGAGGCGCCAAGGCGCCTGCGTTTGAGGCGCCAAGGCGCCTGCGTTTGAGGCGCCAAGGCGCCTGCGTTTGAGGCGCCAAGGCGCCAGCGTTTAAGGCGCCAAGGCGCCAGCGTTTAAGGCGCCAAGGCGCCAGCGTTTAAGGCGCCAAGGCGCCAGCGTTTAAGGCGCCAAGGCGCCAGCGTTTAAGGCGCCAAGGCGCCAGCGTTTAAGGCGCCAAGGCGCCTGCGTTTAAGGCGCCAAGGCGCCTGCGTTTAAGGCGCCAAGGCGCCTGCGTTTAAGGCGCCTGCGTTTAAGGCGCCAAGGCGCCTGCGTTTGAGGCGCCAAGGCGCCTGCGTTTAAGGCGCCAAGGCGCCTGCGTTTAAGGCGCCAAGGCGCCTGCGTTTAAGGCGCCAAGGCGCCTGCGTTTAAGGCGCCAAGGCGCCTGCGTTTAAGGCGCCAAGGCGCCTGCGTTTAAGGCGCCAAGGCGCCAGCGTTTAAGGCGCCAAGGCGCCTGCGTTTAAGGCGCCAAGGCGCCAGCGTTGAAGGCGCCAAGGCTCCAGCAATTAGGCGCCAAGGCGCCTGCGTTTAAGGCGCCAGCGCTCATGGCGCAAGGGCGCCAGCGTTTAAGGCGCCAAGGCGCCTGCGTTTAAGGCGCCAAGGCGCCTGCGTTTAAGGCGCCAAGGCGCCAGCGTTGAAGGCGCCAAGGCTCCAGCAATACGGCGCCAAGGCGCCTGCGTCTAAGGCGCCAAGGGTTGACGATGACCACCTAACACTTAACGCGCCTATCACTTTGTACTCACGAAACATGTCGTTTGTCACGGACGCTTGTCAGGGGCGTTTTCCACGAGCGGTTTCATGGTCACGGGCGCTTGTCACAGAATAAGGAGCTGACGTTCGTACTAGCGTGTGGTATTAGCGTGAGGTAGTACGGGGTAATCCGCGAGGTACTAGCAGTAGTAGCATGAGGTACTAGCGTGATGGTACTAGCGTGATGGACTAGCGTGAGTGGAAAGAAATAGTTTCTTGTTCTTGGCTGGGTTGGGTTATCGGGGTGGTTTCACATGTGTGAGCACGTGAATTCAGCTGACTCAGCTGATGCACGACTGTACACTTCATGTGTAGTTTGCGTCAGCTCCAGAAAACGAGACGAAAGCGAAAAACGAAACGAACGTTTCCCATAAAAGCAGAGTTAGTAAAACACATGTTTTCAACATAAGTAACCACATAATACATGCTGATATTATTTAGTCGTAAATCCACATAATTGGGCATTATGTGTGAGATAAGAGAACCAAATGCAATATTTACAATACGAAACGACTGTAAAGGGTGGGAGAAGAATACGGATATACCTAAGAGGAAGGAAAAACAAATGAACAAAATGACTTTATTATATATATATATGTGTGTGCTGTATTGATCTTTAGTATGGTTTTCAGCTTCTACGCAACCCTTACGACGTTCATCGTCGAGCCTTGTTTAGCTAATCTTGCCACCAGCTGGTGGCCTTCCCTGTCTTGGCCACTTTGTCAAAAACTTCCTGGGGTGTCACGTCACCCACGACAGTGACCTTCTGGTTCTCCAGACTGATGTCGAATGACTTCACGCCTGTGGGAGCGCAACGGCGTGGACGAACGAGGAGACGGGGAGAAGCATGGACGATGAAGAGTACGAAACGGAGAGTCATGAGAAAGTGACGCGAAACGGCGGCTAATCAGCCTCCATATGGCAAGGACCGCTTACCTTCCATCTTTTCCAAGACTCGCTTCACGGCAGCAGAGCAGCCACCACAAGGCATCGCGACTTTCAGGTGAACCGTCTGCAAGAGTGAACACATCCGGAAGGGATATCGTTATACGTAAGGAAATGCGTGGAGAGCCATACAGCGGACGCGATTCGCGAGGCGAGGAGCTGTTAACTCCAGGAAGGAATACCGACCTGAGTCATATTGTCTGCACTGCAGGAAACAGAGAAGGATTTACGACCCGATAACCGAGATCCAACGAGAACAAAAGACTGGGGATGCTGGCAATTGAGAACTGTTGGTGTCTGAGCGAGACGGAATCTACTCAAGCTTTTCGAAGTGCTGACGGAGAGGGATCCAGCAACGCTGAAACTAGCCATGGAAATATGAAAGGCTAGGGCAAAAAATAGGAGTGCTGGTGTCGATCTCAACACAAGCAAGACCAGGTCCCATCCCATGCCTTGTCAGTCTGACAAAATCCATTTCCAAGGTTTGATGGCTGGCAATGGAGCCTGCGAAAGTTCGCAGTCGCGACAGCTGGCGTACGACCCAGCGGGAAGGGAGCGATGTGGATGGATACGTGTCTGTGCGATTCGCATGGACTCGCGAAGATGGTCTGCGTGCGTTCGCGTTTCCCGCGACGCGGTCAAAGTGGGTGCTGTTTGTGTCGTACACGTCGTACATCTTCGCTGCTGAGTGCTTCGCTTATGGCGTTTCTAAATTTGCCACTTAAGCTGACTACCAAGAGAGTTCTGCGTGTAGTTATCAAGAATCGTCCTTTGATTCTTGTGACCCTGGAAGCCAGGTCTTGGCTATGGTCGCCATCGCGGATGCAGTCTTCTAGGAGCAAGTGACGTCAGGGGTCCTCAATATTGTCGACGGCGTGGTGCACGGAAAGTCGGGTCGACACTCAAGTACCCTTCCCTAACGCAAAATATCACGCTGTCATATGTTGTTCTGTACCGCTGTGTTGCAATTCGAAGTGACACCGGGAAGGACATGAGCTGGTTTGCTAGGTCCGTGTCAGACCCGCTTGGACCGGAGCCTTCGAGACACGCAATCAGAACGGGCACCGCACAGCTGCGAAATGCTGCAGTTGGGAGTTCTGGAACCAGGATACCAAGTGCAATCCCGCCCTGAGTGCTGGTGCCTGAACCCTGCCTGCTTGCCGAAAAAAAGAGAAGCCGTCCCAATCCAAGTTGAGTACTTGACTAGTCTTTGGATTTCCCAGCCGTTCCGCTCCCTCTCAGAGACCAGCAGCAGATAGTGTCTGGTGTCGGACGCTGCGTCGAGCAGCATCTTATTCTACGCAGCGGGTAGTTCCCGCGCGACCTCTCGTGTGTCATTGAGTTGTCTTGCTAACGCGTAGTCGCTTGAGAGCCAGGCTATTGGCCTTACCCTGCTTTTCTACAAGATTCTCTATTAAGCTTAGGGTAGGATCCAGTCCATCGAGCCGGCAGTTCAAGGTTTACTCGACGCGCCCGAGCTGTAAAGATGCCGTCGAATCAAGAACAGCGGCCGTTTCGGCACATTATTCGGGATAGTAAGTTCCGACTAAGCGATCTCACTTGTCTTCGTGTTTCACTATTTGCGGCTATGAATTGTTTAACGATTAATCTATTCAGCTCGTGTTGGAGGCGATCTTCCGCTCGTCTTCTGCAATCTTATTTTGTGATTAAGTTGTTGGAACGTCTGACCGACACTGTCAATCGCAGAAACGTCTTTTGGTTTTCGTAGTTTTTTGTTCAAAAGTCGTCGACACTGTTTGCCAGACATGTTTCGATGGCAATAATGCACGATGTTTGTATCGTCCTTCAAATTTACAGAAGTATCTCCGTTTGGAATGTTCCGCATTCACAATTTTCTCTTGAACCGCGTTTCTGTTTCTTTCTCACACCTCTCAGGAATGCTAATTGAGATGCTTCGAGGCGCCAAACAAGCAGGCGGTGGCGAATGGAAGGTGATTATTGTTCTCAGATAATGGTTTCCGTTTACTCTTTCTTTTGCTCGTTTCCTCCGTATCTTGTTCGCACCTGTTGTGCAACGAACCACCACTGGCATCCTCCGATGTCTGACATTTTCCTTTAAATTGACTCAAAAGTCACGAGCTGCCACTGGGATCTGATGCCAGACAATCTGTTCTATACTTTTGGTCTTTCATATTTTTTTTCTCACTGCAGATTGATCCATGGAATGCGCTATTATCCCGTGTTTTTGGTTACCCGATTTCGTGCAATTCGACTCCAAAAAAAGCCTCAAATCGAGTCCTTTTTTTCCTGTCCGTTTGTTCTTGTCCCCCTATTCCTCTGCTCCTCTGTACCCGTGGTTTCTGTGCTTCGCCAGGTGCTCATCACGGACGCCTTCACGCTGCGCGTCATGTCTGCCTCCTGCAAGATGCCTGACGTCACTGAGGAAGGCATTTCCCGTAAGTGAACAGGGAAAAGAGAGTGATTCTTGCCTCGTTAGATTGGATCACCGCCTGCGGTTCCATCCTCCTCCTTTTGTGCTGAGAGTTGCGTCCACCCACCCAGGGATGCACTCCTCTTCATCCAATCCATGGCGCTTCTCTCGCTCTCTCTGGCTCGCCCCGTTCTTCGCCTTCACTCTCCACCCCTCCCCTCCCAGTCCCTCCCTCCTCCGCTCTCTCTCCTTCCGTCCTCTCTCCCTTCGCCCCATCCATTTCAACCCCGCTACCTCACGTTGCCAGTGGTGGAGGATATCAACAAGAGGCGCCAGCCGCTGCGAGTCATGGAGGCATTTTACCTTCTCTTGCCATCTCCTTCGCTCTCTCCTTCTCTCCTCCTCTCCTTCTCCCTTTCTCTCCTTCTCTCCTTGTCTCCTTGTATCCCTGTATCTATGTCTCGTTCTCTCCTTCTCTCCTCTCTTCTCCCACTCCCACCGTCTCTCCTTCTCAAACCCCCTTCGTCGGTCTTCCACACTCCCCCCCTGCCCCACTCCGCCAGTGGTGGAGGATATCAACAAGAGGCGCCAGCCGCTGCCAGCCATGGAGGCGCTTTACTTCATCCAGCCTACCGCGTCCAGGTGCGAATCCCTGTTTCCCCCGTCCAGATGCGCTAGTTTCACCCTCGTTTCTTTAGTCATCTCTTAATTCTTCAGCCGCTGCCAGCCATGGAGGCACTATACTTCATCCAGCCCACTGCGTCCAGGTGCGACCTCCCAGTTTCATCCTGGTTTCCACCTAGTTTCACTCTAGTTTCAACCTAGTTTCGCTCTGGTTTCAACCTAGTTTCACTCTAGACTTTTCGCTTCTTCCCCCATTATGGGCTACTTTCCCTCTCCTTGTGCTGCGTGCTGTGTTGCCAATGCCATTTGCAGCATCGGACAGTTTATGAAGGACATGCAGGGAAAATCGCCCCTCTACAAAAAGTACGTAGGTAGCCCTATGTGTGGCATGCCAGCTCATGCCATTTTGTGCCATAGTATGCCATTGTGTGCTATTCCGTCACTCTATGCCATGCCATGCCATGCCATGCCATGCGGTGCAGTGCCATACCTTGTCATTCTATGCCATGCCATACATGTCATGCCATACCATGTCGTGCCATGCCATGTCATGCCATGCACATCATGTCACTGTATTTCGGCCGCTTCGTGCATAAGAACAACCTGATCAAACGCTGACACGTCAAGCCCCCAACCAACCAACCTTCCTTCCGTGCATGTGATTAACGAGCAGAGCGCATGTCTATTCCAGCCACCCTGTCTCCAAGGATATCGTGTTCTCACGCACACCCTCTCCTGTGCTCTCATGCATACCTGAAACACCACTCCCTTGCATTTGATCCCCCTCGAGCAGGGCGCATGTCTATTCCAGCCACCCTGTCTCCAAGGATATCGTGTTCTCACGCACACCCTCTCCTGTGCTCTCACCCACACCTGAAACACCACTCCCTTGCATTTGATCCCCCTCGAGCAGGGCGCATGTCTATTCCAGCCACCCTGTCTCCAACGATATCGTGTTCTCACGCACACCCTCTCCTGTGCTCTCACGCACACCTGAAACACCACTCCCTTGCATTTGATCCCCCTCGAGCAGGGCGCACGTGTATTTCAGCCGCCCCGTCTCCAAGGACAACCTGCAGCCCGTCAAGGCCGACCCTCTGCTTCGCTCCCGCATTGCGGCTTTGAGAGAGGTGGGTGTTTTGCATTGCGGTTCTTAGAGATGGGTGTACTAAGAGAGAGTTTGGTGTACTAAAGAGGTTGTCATTATTGAGCAGCTGGGTCAAATTCAGGGTGTGTTGAGAATGCCCTCCCTTCTCCCATCCGTCGTTCCGCCCATCTTTCCTTCTCCAACGATTCCAAATGAACCTGGAGGCGCTCACAGTGGATATTCAGGGCCATGTGACGGAGCATGACAGCGCGCTGGTGGAGCTGTTCACTCTGCCTGCTTGCCTGTGTGCCCACCCACCCACCCCAGATGAACCTGGAGGTGCTGACAGTGGACATCCAGGGCTACGTAACAGAGCATGACAGTGCGCTGGTGAAGCTGTTCAAGGAGGACATCAGCACTCTCCCCTATCTCTGTGTACCTGCCTGCCTGTGTGTGTGCCCACGCCCACCCACCCCAGATGAACCTGGAGGTGTTAACGGTGGACATCCAGGGCTACGTGACAGAGCACGACAGCGCATTGGTGGAGCTGTTCAAGGAGGACATCAGCACGCGCGAGTACGAGCTGCTCATCGATGACATCGCCACCCGCCTCTCCACTGTTTTTGCTTCACTCAAGGTCTGTACCGGCTGGCTGTCCTGTAGGCTGTATGGTAGGGTGGCAGGGCGGTAGGGTGGTAGTTTCTAGTGGGACCAGCTGAGCCTCTGATTCCTAACCCCTACCCAATCTCCTCGTCCCCTCCCTGTCTCTCTGCCCCTTTTTGGCCCCTCTCCCATCTCAAACTCACACACACTCAAACACGCTGACACACACGCTCACACACACTACGCCAACCAGGAACTGCCAGCAGTGCGGTACAGAGCAGCCAAGGCGACGGGGGCAGCGGTGAGCATGCAGCGCATGCGCGAGCTGGTGTCCACCAAGCTGGCTGCTGCTGTGTGGGATCGGCTGAGCAAGTACAAGTCGTCCATTCAGGGCTTTCCCACCAGCGACACCTGTGACCTTCTTATTCTTGATCGCTCTGTCGATGCGGTGAGTGCACCACAGGAAACGGTGATAGCAGCAAGGATCAC